AACAAAGTTTTTATCATTAAATTATGCAAAAGGTGTCAGACGCAAAACATTTCACAAACCGTATGAATCAAATATGATACATTTGGCATTATAGGGTTAAAGTCTTCAATTCTGGAAAGTTACCAGAGAGAAATTAAAAAAGTGATTATACATACAGTGGGGGAAATAAGTATTTGACCCCTTGCTGATTTTGCAGGTTTGCCCACTTACAAAGAATGCCTATTTTTCCTCATCAGATGGTTATCCATTTTTATAAATTCATATGATGTGATTTTCTGGAATTTTCTTTGGGATTCTGTCTTTCACTGTTAGAATGTACATATGATTAAAGTTATAGATCGTTGCATTCTTTGTAAGTGGGCAAACCTGCAAAATCAGCAAGGGGTCAAATACTTATTTCCCCCACTGTACATTGATTTCCCTAACAGCTGTCTCAAGTCTTCGGGAAGACGGATCCAGGTTATAACCCTTTAAAGCCTGATCCAAGAATAAAACAAAACAGAAAATAGCTTTTTTGGGGTTTGAAGTCTTTATTTGGCCTTTTAACAAAATATGTAAAAAAGAAAAAACAGAGAATTTTTTTTAATATTAATATTAGTAATTTATTACTATGCGATAAATCAAGATTATATTTTGGGTAGTCTTTTACTGCCTGTTATCAGGTGTATCTGATTGTGTACAATAGGATTTTGAACAAAGTTTTTACCATTAAATTATGCAAAAGGTGTCAGACGCAAAACATTTCAGAAACCGTATCTATCAGCTATGATACATTTGGCATTACAGGGTTAAGAAAGTGATTGTACATATATTGATTTCCCCAACAGCTGTCTCACGTCTTCGGGAAGACGGATCCAGAGTTTTAGGAGCCTGGAACCGAGTGTGTCTGAGTGTGTTTGACAGAACTGACCCTGAACAGCTCTCCCCTCTCTGCCCGCAGAGTCCCGGGTCCAGAGCTACCTGCTGGCCGCCCTGGAGTGCAGCCAGCACCGGACCCCCCCCTCCCTGCCCGGGGGCCTGGAGCCCATCAGCCGCGAGCTGAAGGAGCTGGCCGTGCGCTTCAGCCGCCTGGTCAACTTCAACAAGCTGGTGTACTCCCCGTTCTACCAGAAGATCCTCCAGAAGGTGCTGGCCCAGGGGGAGGAGACGTAAAAACCCCCGTTGGAGGAGGGTCTGTAGCTCAGAGGTTTTCCCCGGTCGAGGTCTGGATGCTGAGCTGAATCTGTAAGAGGGCTTAATCCCACTCCAACCACCACAGCTTCATTTCCCCCCCCCCAGTGTTGTTCACCCCGATTAAGATGTCAGACCGCAGAGTTATGACCCGCACAGTATCCGTCTTTTGCAAAACTTAGTGTTACGAACAGGACTTGACTCTTGTGTTGTGGTTCTTTTACTGAAGCTAACAGAGGAGCCTGTGTCTCTACAGAAGGATGAGTGTGAAATACGAACCGTTTAGTTGAAAGTAAGGGAGAACCCCCCCTCTGAGAAGCTGTATTTATCAACTGAGAAGGAGATCGTGAAACACGGCTGGTGCGCATTTATTTCTGATTTCAGATATTTAAGCATTTAAGAGGTAAAAAAAAGGGTTGTTAGAGTGGTGTCTCAGCCTCTAAGGAGATTTCTGACTGAAAAATTGTCCTTAAAATGGTCACCGATGTTGTCTGTTTAACTTTTAATTCACACAAATGGCAAGCGTTTGTCGGCACGTTGAACTATTTTAGAAAATGCATCCAAGCAAAACATGACAAATGCTGACCATAAACAGAATTGTCTTTCCAAACTCGCATTTGGATCATTTTAGCACTCGGAAACCTTCAAGTCAAGTCAACTAGATCCAAAATTGTCTTATACTGAGTCAACAATAATAATACTTTGTCTAGAAGTCTATAATTACTCGTAGAAGTGGAAGAAATTCCTATTTTAGACAGTGAAAATTAGCTATCTGTGTCTTTCGAGCAAAATATTGAAGGATAACAGCACACAAACCCACTGAAAGTCCTGTTTCCCATTAATACCTTAACCCTTATCTATACTGGAAGCTTCTGAGTGTGAATATGATCAGATATGTGTGGTAAAACGTGGAATAAACTATTTGTAAATTTAATTTCTTTACTTATGCTTGGTATGTTTAATTGCTCTGGAGCATACAGTTTTTTTTTGGTTCATAAATGACACATTTGATAACCAAATAGTAAACATCTATGACCATTTTGAGGATCATTTAAAAATATAATTCAACCTAATAAAATGCATTTTGAATGGGAGACAGATAGTTACATGAAATGAAACGAAAAACACAAACATTAGCCAAATATTCATAAAAACATTGCAGCTTTTGGTGTTGATAATGACACTTTAGCCACTATTAGCACCGGCTGACAACAGGCTGCATGCTGCTAGTTTCTTTTTAACGGGAAATAGAAGCTAGAAAAACACCTCACACTGTTATAGTCAACTGTCTCTGTAAATGTGTTTAGACATGCAAATGGTTACTTCTTAAAACTGTTAGCAAGATGTGTAGAGTAGCTAATGGTTTCCAGCTTTAATGCTAAGCTACGCTAATCAACATCTTGCTTTAGCTTCGCAATGTTAGCGGTTGAGAATCAGTGCTACGTTAAATCTGAAGGCCTGAAAGCCTTTAAGTTAACTTTTTTCATTTTTTTTATTGTTAATTCTTTCAACTAGGGGAAGTCATACCTCTATAAACTTGTTTTAAAACAATAGTAATATTTTCCCTGGATGTAAACCGAGGTTAAAATGGAGTTAAGATCTGTTTAGCTCCATAATTGACTCTAAATAACTACTAGGTTATGAACATTTTGAAACACCGGTATGTACCAGACAAAAAAAAAAGGTTATTTTGCTACATTATACAGTATGTTAGCTGACATAAAATTCCCCAAATAAACTACACCGAAGGGAAGCTAGACTGCTATTATGGACCAACTTGCACGGTCATTATTTTGAATGTTACTTAAATTTTATATGAATTTATTAATTGGTGTTGGTTTATCTCTTCTCTGCTTTTGAATCTGACTTTGCTCTGTTTTTTGTTGTTGTTCCACACCAGTTTACGGCAGGACTGCTTATAGCGTTATTCACACCTCTGGGCATTCATGTCCAGAGATCAATAAAATTAACTGATTACGCCAACTACATTCATGTTTGTCTTTGGGAGTCTGTGAAATAAGCCAATAAAGCATTGTTTGACCCACACAACGGAAGATTTTGTTTGAATTCTTTCCTATTTTTAAATGCCTTTGTCTAAAGACATGACAAAGGGACAGGTGGGAGCAGCTTACCATGAGACGACTGGCTAACTATTAGTTAGACGGAGAAATAGTAGAAGAATGGTAAGAAAACAGCTCCCTGTGTGCTTGTAATATTGATATTAGTCAGTAGATGGAGGCAGAACACCAGCCTGAAATCAGATCATAATTAGAAAAATGGCTGAGTGACAATGTTCTTACAACCCACAGCAGGACATGTAAAAACTTTTTGTGTTGCAAAAGATGGTTTATTCAGTATATTATCACATAAAAAAGCAATTATACTTGTTTCGATGACCAGATCTTAAAAGTAGGTACATAGAGCTTCCAAAAAACAACTGTCATCATCACTTCCTGTTGATGTTTATTTATGAAAACTAATCTGGTCTTCAATCTATGTTAAAATCTCATTTTTTGAATGACTCACTGTAATTAATTATTCATTACCAGGTTTTTCCGGGTGGACTTTAAGGTCCTGATGCTGCAGTAGCAGCCCAGATCATCATTCCTCCCCAGCCGTGCTGACAGCTGCTCTGAGCTGTTTGGTTTTCTTAGTTTAGATGTAGCTTTGCGAACCTGAGCTGTGCTGCCATGTTCTTTTCCCAGAAAACAGGCTTTCTCCTGCAGACAAACATGCTCAGTCTCCTTCTCACTCTGCTGACCTTTGACCTTTAACCGGCTAACCAAGGCCTGCAGAGACCCAGATGACGCTGTTGGGTTTTTAAGCTTGCTGGGACTTCTGCTCCTGAATGTTTTCCACTTTTTTCTGTTTACATTATCTATACATGATGTTTGTTCTTTTTTTCTTTAAATCTGGGTAATTCTGTCACTTACTTTGTAATGTTTTGTTATATTATTCATAAGTCACAGACATTGAAAACACCCCCTGTAAATACTTTTTACTTACTTGATTTATGCCTCTGACAGACTATTGTATTTTTCATTTTTTCTGCCCTTGTTTTTGCATTGCTGCAGTAACAACACGTGCATTTCCCCATTGTGGGATCAATAAAGTCTTGTAATCTAATCTAACTTTGGACTATTATCACTGAGTGTTATCTTTATGTTAGAAAATACCATGTAAGTAAATCATTTGTCGTGAGATTTAAGCGAAAATCCATAAAAACATTTCAATACATCCAAAAGAGAAATCTTTTGTTTTGCACGGATGAGAATTGTCCAACAAAAAGCTTTAAGTCAACACACCATAAGGAAGCGTCTCAATAAAACACGTCTAAATTTATCTGTTGCTGTAAAGCAGCCCTGGAGTGGGCGAAATGTTTTCCCCCCGGTGTCAGAGTGACATATATAGGCCCAACTCCTCCTCCTCTTCCTCATCCTCCTCCTCCTTCCCTAGCTGACATTCCACACAAGCAACAAGCTACCGAGCTAGCCGCTAACAGCTAGCCGCTAACAACTAGCCGCTAACAACTAGCCGCTAGCAGCTAGCCGAGAATTAGCATGCAAAAGTTTAGAAACACGAACTCTCGCCTGGACTAACGCGCGGAAACCCGCGCTCCGGAGACCCGTGGAAGCCATGGGTCTCGACTAGTGTTTGTAACAGCTGTTACAAACACCCCCCCCCCCCCCCCACACACACACAACACACACAACCCCTCCTCCTCCCGAAACTAAGAGCCTCAAATGTGCGAAAAGTCGCGCGGCGCGTCCTCGTCGTTGAACAAGATGGCAGCGGCAGCGGCGACGGTTGGACCGTTGCAGGGTTCCACAGCGGTGCGGGTCCTCGTCGCTAGCCTGTTTTCAGACGCTCCGGGTGATGTGAATTACCGCTCTTATTGAAGGTGGGTGCCCGGGTTTTAAAAGCTGGCTGTCAAACGCACTTTCCGTGACGTGTTTGTGTCGGTCCGATGTGTGTTTTTTTTTGGACGCTGGGAGGACTTCGCTGGCGGCTAGCTTGTTTGCTAACTTCCCTTCGCGTTCTCTGGCAGTTAAGTTAGCAGCAGATGCTAATCAGTAACTTTAAAAAAGGGGGAAAAAACTGTTTTTTTCAGCGAAATGAAATGAGTGCAGCGTTTTATTTTGCCCTGACTTTTTTTTCCCCTTTTGCCGTGAATTGTAAGAGTCGTTGCATCGAAAAAGCACAAACAAGGTGATATTTTTTTTTGTACCTGCTACTTTTCAAGTATTAAAATGACAGTTAGGACATCTAAGTGAACGCATTGTAAGTTGTGAGCCCCACGCAGGGCAAAAAATAACGACTATTTCTGCGCCTGCCTGCCAGAACATGGGTTTCAACAGGTGTTTGGTCGTGTTTTCGCCCATCCCCCCCCCCCCAAACGCACACGTACACACGCTTTCCACCCTTCCCTGCAGCCCCCATATGTGAGCTGTCACCCAGACTGGTAGGCACTGGACCAGTGGGGTGCTTTTACAGCTGTTTAAAGGCCAGAAACTGTGTGTGTGTGTGTGTGTGTGTGTGTGTGTTGGGGGGTGGGATCTCCATTTCAGGCTCTGGTCCCCCTCGTCCCGTGGGATATCGGGCTACCTGCATTTGGCAGGAGGCGTAACAGCTGAGAGGTTGGGGGGGCTGACATATTTACCCCACGCCAGGCATATGGTGGGGGGGCTGTTTTGCTGTCCGGAGAAGAGCCATGTGCCATAACTCCATCTCCACTTTCCAAGGGGGAGGGATTTAATTGCGTTTCTGGATTATTCTACACAGTTTGAATGAAGATTACAGCTTCCGATCTGGACACTTTGGAGCGTTTTAACTGGCCGTTAGTCAGTTCTGTGAACCGGTTGTCGCAGTTTGCCAGATCTAGCAGTCAGAAATGAGGTGTGTTTCGCGTACTGTTGACTTTAAGGCGCACCTCTCTGCCTGTCTGAGCCTGTGTGTGTGTGTGTGTGCGTGCAAAGGTTATTACTGTGGGAGTCTACTGTCTCGCTACAAGCCCTTGTTGTTGTTGTTGAATACAATTTCATGCTTCGGACATCCAATTTCCTAAGTGTGCGCGAGACATGTGATCGAGCCCTGAAAACTGGAGTCACCGGAGTTAATTTAAGTGTTTGGAAACCTCGGGGAGGTGTAGCCGAAGAGCTTCCCCTCTGCCTGATCGTAGCTTTTTTTTATCGTGATGCAATGCCCTGCTGCAAACAGGAATGTTTTTACAGATAGTGTAGCAGAAACCTTCCCTTTGTGTGTGTGTGTTTGTGTTTGTGTGTGGCTGTATCAAAAGTTTGATATCTATACATCTTTGTGTACTAAACAATTGAGCATTTGCCTACACAAGTATAAACCAGCCCTATTCTTAATAGCTTAAACTTCCAAGTTTGTATGCAGTAGTGTTTGGCAGCAATAATGTAATAAGGCACACCGGAGGTGTCTTTCTAAAGCAAAGGTATCAGTTTCAATACGGTCATAAAAAAGAAAAAAAGCAAGGCGCCTATGTAGGAGATAAGGATGGAATATGAGATATAATCAAATCGATGTCCAGCAGCACTTGAATGTGGTTGAATTTCCAGTTTTACTTTCACAGCTATGAGAGTTTTGATAAAGTTTATGAACGTGAGAGAGAAAGTTGGCAAGTCGCGCACCGAGTGAGCTCGTCATCGCTAAGAAGAATATATATTTCGGGGTCTGAGGAAATGAGAAGGGGGATCCAGTAAATACTGACGAGGCAGCGTGTAAATGATGTAATAAAAAGGTGACAGAGAGACGGAGACGCATCAAACCTGAGGTTGATCTAATTTTTCTGACTGTTGCTGTTGCTAATACAAGTTAATATTGTGCATATTATGTTGTTGTTGCCGTTTCTTTATTAGTGTTTGGTGTTCATTTTCTTAACGGTGTAGGCACAAGACAGCAGTTTTGGTGTGATGGTATCCAAATTTGGACAGGGCCCAACCCTAGTATGCGGGGAGATGAATAACTTCATCCCATGTGTCCACTTAAGATAGATGCAGACATGTAAGCACTTGTGGAAAAGCACACAAACATCCCGTTTCAAGTTTGGGGCCATGGTTTTCTGTTTGTTTTTGTACACAAGAGAAAAACAAAGTATTACATTTTTCTTTTCTTTTAATTATTTAAAATTTGGCATAAAGAAAGAAAACAGAAGTTTTAATGAATTTAGTCTCTTCAGAGCTTTGGCTCAGAGTACTTTCAACACGAGTGAAAAAACAAACCACAAATATCAGCCGGCTTGGCCTGCGTACTCTCCAAAACATACAAATAAAAGAATACAATGTTCATTTGAAGCGTACGTGGAAATAAACTCGGCGTGGCGGTTTATTTGACAAAGGAAGGTTGCTGTTGTCTTTACGTCCACTCCGAGGACTCGGCCCTCACGTGATAATCCTCCTTATTGGAGCTGTCAGTCACCGGTTGTGTTGCACAAGACTTTGCAGAAATGTTCCTGTTTGCACGCTCTAATAAAGAGCAACCACGGCTTCGTGAGAAAAGTTCAGCCCCGGGGCTCGTGCACGCTCTGCGTTGCAGTCTGGGAAGAAGTTTCTATGTGAGAATAGACTTATGGCACTCACTGGGTAAGCTGTTGTTGAATGAAAAAGTATTATCCATATCTTTTTTGTTCTTATCCAGACTTTGGACATTTCATGCGTATTGGTTTAAAATCCACTTGGTTGCTGCTTTTCTATTGAAGCGTTGTTAGGATGGTGAACAGAAATGACCCACAATTTCCCCTTTTAATGCTTTCTTCTGATTAATTCAGTGTGGTTTCTGACACCGAGTTTGTTGTTTTGTTGTCATGACGGCGCTGAAACCTGAGGACGTGCGTTCTTTGGCCTAGAACAATGTGTTTGTGGCTCCGACAGCAA